CTTCTCGAATTCGTTCTCGCCAAGGGGCTTTCGCGTCAGTCGACAAGCCCCTGTGTGGCTACCATGGATACACACATAGCATTGTGAACAAAATGTTACCATGACAGCAATTCTTCACAAATCATTATTTTTTTTAATGGAGGACAGGGGGTCAGATCCTCCTAAGTGATTCTCTAATTAAAACGGTAATTGTAGCTAAGATAAATATCTAATGCGAATTCAAATCTTACGAAAGACACGTTTTTGATTCATGGTTATGATCTTGTCTTACCTGGACACTGTTCAATGTAGTTATAATGATGTCAATAATGCTCTCATTTGCTTTACACAGATCAACAACAAAACCAAAACCAACATGTTTTATCTGTGGTCTAAAAAAATAAAAACAAAAACATGAATACTCTAACAAAACACTAATAACAGGTAAAGAGGCATAAAGTGGTGAGGTTAGTTTATCATCCATTAAAATACTTGTCGCAAACAAGTAATCAAAATTCAATTGCGCCCCAAAATGATGCCGCTGATTACTCAGTTGTCGCAGCGTATGTTATACCAAGTCTACTTGGTATCGACTTTGAATTGCTTTTCCTTCTTGGTGCATATTCTCGTTTGTGTAAAATGCAACCTCTCACCAATGTATTCAAATACTTTGAATTTATACTTCAATTATATTTGGTCTACGCGAAAACATTAATCTTTCTAAACATTTTCTGAGATCATGCATGATGTATTTTCACAAAATAATGCAATCATGTTTTTCATTATGTTGATCTCTACGTTATCTGGATTGCTTTGTGATTTCATTCCAAGGCAAATAAAATAGTTTTTCTGCCAATTATTATAACTACATAGTTTCCAAGTTTTTGGCTCGGCCAAATTTATTTAATTTTTCATTGGAACTTTGTGGCAATGTTATCCTTTTAATTTTCCAGTCTTTCGTGTTCATTTATGAGCTTTACAATAAGTGTGAATGGCTGTGCAAGCCTACCATACACGACCATGGTCAGCTGGTGTCATGGAATCTATGCATAAAAAGCGATCGACCTGCGACCGCCAATCTCCACCACAGCGATAGCCGTGGTGCACCATCTGTTTGATTTCTTATTCCCTCCTTATTTGGTGGTCAACCTCAGTAAAATCTTAACTCAATTAAATTTACCTTGTAATTCCAATATAATACTTAATAACATCTTCTAATGTCGTGCTTCTTAGAACATTGAACTGTTTAGATGGTATTGTAATAATAGGTCTACCTTCTTGATCTCGGCCACCTGAAATATATGAAACATCTTTGTCAGCTACCACACATTATTTGAATCATTAATATCATAATATTAAACTTGTACATCTACATGCATGAATGGCCCTTTAAGGTCATATACTTAATACTAGTCAATAAATACCAGGGTGTATAATTTAATAAGGTCATGGTCTGCACCCATTTGTCAATAAATACCAAGGTGTGTAATTTATTAAGGTCATGGTCTGCACCCATTTGTCAATAAATACCAGGGTGTATCATTTATTAAGATCATGGTCTGCAACCATTTGTCAATAAATACCAGGGTGTTTAATTTATTAAGGTCAAGGTCTGCACCCATTTGTCAATAAATACCAGGGTGTATAATTTATTAAGGTAATGGTCTGCACCCATTTGTCAATAAATACTTAGGTGTATAATTTATTAAGGTCATGGTCTGCAACCATTTGTCAATAAATACCAGGGTGTTTAATTTATTAAGGTCAAGGTCTGCACCCATTTGTCAATAAATACTAAGGTATATAATTTATTAAGGTCATGGTCTGCAACCATTTGTCAATCAATACTAAGGTGTATAATTTATTAAGGTCATGGTCTGCAACCATTTGTCAATAAATACCAGGGTGTATAATTTAATAAGGTCATGGTCTGCAACCATTTGTCAATAAATACCAGGGTGTAAAATTTATTAAGGTCATGGTCTGCAACCATTTGTCAATAAATACCAGGGTGTATAATTTATTAAGGTCATAGTCTGCACCCATTTGTCAATAAATACCAGGGTGTATAATTTATTAAGGTTATGGTCTGCACCCATTTGTCAATAAATACCAAGGTGGGTAATTTATTAAGGTTATGGTCTGCAACCATTTGTCAATAAATACCAGGGTGTATAATTTATTAAGGTCAAGGTCTGCACCCATTTGTCAATAAATACCGGGGTGTATAATTTATTAAGGTCATGGTCTGCACCCATTTGTCAATAAATACCAGGGTGTATAATTTTTTAAGGTCATGGTCTGCAACCATTTGTCAATAAATACCAAGGTGTATAATTTATTAAGGTTATGGTCTGCAACCATTTGTCAATAAATACCAGGGTGTTTAATTTATTAAGGTTATGGTCTGCAACCATTTGTCAATAAATACCAGGGTGTATAATTTATTAAGGTCATGGTCTGCACCCATTTATCAATAAATACCAGGGTATATAATTTATTAAGGTTATGGTCTGCAACCATTTGTCAATAAATACCAGGGTGTTTAATTTATTAAGGTCAAGGTCTGCACCCATTTGTCAATCAATACTAAGGTGTATAATTTATTAAGGTCATGGTCTGCAACCATTTGTCAATAAATACCAGGGTGTATAATTTATTAAGGTCATGGTCTGCAACCATTTGTCAATAAATACCAGTGTGTAAAATTTAAAGGTCATGGTCTGCAACCATTTGTCAATAAATACCAGGGTGTATAATTTATTAAGGTCATAGTCTGCACCCATTTGTCAATAAATACCAGGGTGTATAATTTATTAAGGTTATGGTCTGCAACCATTTGTCAATCAATACTAAGGTGTATAATTTATTAAGGTCATGGTCTGCAACCATTTGTCAATAAATACCAGGGTGTATAATTTATTAAGGTCATGGTCTGCAACCATTTGTCAATAAATACCAGTGTGTAAAATTTAAAGGTCATGGTCTGCAACCATTTGTCAATAAATACCAGGGTGTATAATTTATTAAGGTCATAGTCTGCACCCATTTGTCAATAAATACCAGGGTGTATAATTTATTAAGGTTATGGTCTGCACCCATTTGTCAATAAATACCAAGGTGTGTAATTTATTAAGGTTATGGTCTGCAACCATTTGTCAATAAATACCAGGGTGTATAATTTATTAAGGTCAAGGTCTGCACCCATTTATCAATAAATACCAGGGTATATAATTTATTAAGGTTATGGTCTGCAACAAAAACATATGTTTCTGATCATCTCTAAATAATAAAATCATCAAAACATAATATAAATCTTTTCAACCTTTCATACCGTGTATCACATAATATGTTCATGATAAAAACAAAACAATTATTTATATTTCTTTCAATACTTCATTAAAATTGAGAAGGAAATATTTACTGAAATGAAGGCCATAAAAAGAGGGCTCAGAAAAAAAAGAAAAAAGTTACAGATGAAAATTTTTCCAAAAATAAAGTTTTCGAATTTCAAAACTGTCATCAAATGATACTTTTAATTTAATTCTCCATTCCTTTTTTTTTCTATAACACATATTTTTTAACTGATGCGCATGAACTGAAAAATTATTTTTTTCTGGGCCCTATCAAGTGGGTCACCACCCAAAGCAAATGTGTTTGTGGCTTGAATTTCATGCCATGTGTGTTGTCTCACCTGTCAGTAATGCTACTTGCGATTTCATCAAGTCATCTGGCGGCATCACAGGTATCTTGCCCAATACCGGTGAACCTTCCTCTGCAAATAGGTAACACAAATCAAAGATATAAAACTCTGATTCAATCAAAAGGTTATTCAATTTTTTTACTACATACTGCAGTTTTCATACTGGGTAGTTAATAAGTGTAATCGATACGAAGAGCCATGCACAAATTGTGGATACAAGTAGATGAATGTCGCATTCTTTTAAAGTCTGGATTTTGTAAAGCAAACTATTTTTTATTTTTTTTTTTTATTTTGAGTAGTCCAGTTGGTATACAATCTCTAGATAATGGTAGTTTGTGTGACTAGGGCTATAGTACAGTTAATTAAATAATGAGTGCATGTAAATAAGCAAATATTATTATCCTTATAAACAAAGATATAGTCACTGGTAATTGTATACATACACTGTATTAAGGTAGCCTCAAACAATTGATATTGAGTAACGTGTTCCAGCTCTGCTTACATGTAACGTATACATACATTGTAACCTCTACACATACTGCATTCTTACTGGTCATATTGTTATTAATATTGTAAAACACTATTTTTGATTAATAGTCAATATAAAAGGGCCTGTTATCAATATTGTATTCGAAAAATATCATATTTGTTATATCAGAGGTGTATCTCCAATAGAATCACATTTAAACAAACAGTTGCTTGTATTATTATTATTATTATTATTATTATTATTATTATTTATATAGCACATTACACTGCGTCTCAGAGCAAATTACAAAGTTGAAATGGCAATAAAAATATGATTTAAAAAAAAGATTTTTTAAGTTAAAATGACAATAAGATTGGGATTAATAACATTGGTTAAAAAGAAATGTTTTCAAGTTTCATGGTTACCGCATATTAATTAAGTTAATTTTATGAAGCAATATTTAAAAAGGAAATCAAATAATTTAGAACTAATCATTATTTCAACAACAACAAACCGAGTACTACTAGTATATACAGTGCCACATAAAATTTACTCTGTGACCCAGTTAATGAACTTGATTCTCTAGAGCTTCAAAATTCCATTTATGGTCGCTAATTAATTTAATAAATGAAAATGTAATTTAGCTTAGGAAACTAGAGCTTTTATATTAGTTTTCTATTGCTTTTATTTATGCACACATTAAGTATATAATGTATAAGAATATCTTTTATGATTCATTATAATCATAATGCACTCCAAACTGAATGTTTAGTTATAATTAAAATCCACTTTAAATAGTAATACAGTAAAACAGATTTACCTTATCAAAGGCCAAATAATAATAAAAATGGTGTTGTTTCTATAAAATGCTTTTAAAAAATCAAGTAGGTACATGATTTTTATTTTGTTATAAAAATGTTTTTACAGATACATGTGTCATTAGTCAAGTTTGAAGTTGTTTAGATTACCCAGTTTTGTATTTCTATAAAATCACATTTAAAGCTTCCACAATTTTGTGATATTTTCTCAAATATAAGCAAAAAAGGTTTAGGGTCGGGCAGTAAAAAATAGGGTAGTCGGGTTATATGAACCACAGAATTTGTTTTTTCTTGGCCAAATAGAAATGCATATAAACAAAAAATTTTATTTTAGTATTGTATGAGATATTTTGACTTTAATATGTAAGTGCATGCACACCTAAAACAGCATATTATATTTGTACTACTGTAAATGCATTAATTATTCACTGGGTTTTAATTTCACTATTTTCGCTGATGAGAAAAATTCGCTAAATTTAAATCTACATTTCCCTGAGAAATTCGTGAAATTAAAACACAGTGAATATGCTCAAACATCAAAAGTGGAATTAAATGATTTTACAGTATTAGAAGCGTATCATATCTAATTTGAGTGCACATAAACTAAAAATTGCGTTTAGTGGATAACCTTTTTTGACCATTGACATATCTCTATTGTCCAAGGAAATGCAAACACTGCTAATAAAGCATATTATTTACTCTAATAGAAGCACATCTCCAATAGAAGCGCATATAAACCAAAGATTGTATTTGTTATTGACTGAATCATTAAATAGGACTAATTTTTCCAGTAGAAACACATATATGCTACTAATAGGGAAAATATGGTATGACAAAACAGGTTTCAATTTCAGCCCTAAATCGACATTACCCAGGGTACCTCTTGAGGTCACAAACATGTCTCACAGTGAGGCACACAAAACTATTCAAAATAACAATATTTTGCATATGATATCAAGAAATGTGTAAATTGATGAAGCTAATGGTTATAAAAACAGCCCACCACAAACGTCAAATAATGCCAGTCAAGTCTCAGTCAAACAAAATAATTTTGTACATGCGTGTTTGAAGTAAGTATGAATATGTTAGGTTACTTAATTTACAATGACAATATGGCGTGTTTAATTACACATGTTACACAATTTTGGAGCTTAAATTTACCGGTGACAATACACAAGAGAACAATGGTGTAACATATGGCTCATGTCAAAATATTTATTTTCAATGTCACTATACTGAATTTTAAAATGCTTTTATTCTCATAATGTAATTAGATAAAATTCCCCATAGAACAGTTCTAAAAGTAAACATTTTACAAAATTCCCCACAGAACAGTTTTATTTTAAACAGTTTTAAACATTTTATTCTTTATTATTTTTGACAGACGTGGACAAAATGCATGAGTACACAAGGCAAATTATGAGAAAGTATTTTATGCACTCTCCCTAAATTTTGCTGTCAACAAGAGATTTGACATATATATTCCTGTATTATCATATATTGTTCATACAAATTTTTAGAAGGAAATGTTTGTTTTGAAAAAATTATAATTGTTTCAATTTATGAATGAAAAATAAGTTTTAATAAACATCAGGGTGAAAGAACAGACTTGTATTCCACAGTTAAAGTTACAGTTTTAACCCAATCAGTATCTGGCACAGGAGATTCTTACCAGTAGGCGAAAATTGTTTTTCAGCATCTTAGCTCATCACAAATTTTTTCTTGACAATGTGTTTAGCATGTATCTGAATTCAAGATAGCAATGTATGACAGAATTAATTATTCGATAAACAACAAAATATTTCAGTGTTGGACCAGGATGGCTTACAAACACTCTAACCTCCAGATTTGAAAGAGCTTTGAATGAAATGTTACTGACAATACAATTAAATGAAGCACTTATGTTTAGTGTTTAAAGCACAGTTGGTGCAACAGACCTTTATTCGTAAATGGCTGTAAAAATGTTGTTGACAGTGAGACGCCATGCAACTTGTTTTTAACCTCCATTCCATTCTCTACTGTCAACGAGTCCAACGTTCATCTGACCTCGCTATGGTATTAGGAACAGTGAACGTAATAACATTACCAGTATATGCCCGGTTAAATGAAACACCGGTACTATTTGGAGGGACAAAAACAAGTCACATGACTCCCTCTATCTCTTTCGGCGAGAGCTCGGCAATTATTCGTAAATAAAGTCTATAGATTGGCATGCCAGATTTGGTGTTAAGGTTTGCTACTATATATCATACAATACATCATGTTGACCTGTATCCTGGTTGACAGTATATTCTAATAATGATTGATTAACTACCAGTTATATTCAGTGTATACTAGGCACTAGTGTACCAATAAATCAAATAATTTGCATACAGTTGGTTGGTCAAATTTTAATTATTTGTTTTATTAAATTCATAGTTTTTTTTTTTATAATTTTAATAATTTAAATTTATAAAAAAAAATGTCCCTTGTTTATTATTTTCAATTGTATTCCCAAAAGCTGGTTGATGGAGAAAACCATTATTATCATAACAAATTCTATAACTGATCATTTAATTGAATACCGTGATATTAAAAATATTGATTTCTAAATAAAAATTCATTTGATTAAAAGTTTGTAGTAAATCGCTATCATAAATATTTCCATATACTGCTACAACTATTGAAACTTAATAAGACGATATTAAAACAGTTACCTTTGAATCTGACTGTTTTATGTTGCATATTGTTCTTCATTGTTTTTCATTCAGAGATTTCATCTCACTTTGATGAAATACCGATGTATAACTGATATTGATGTATAGTTATTGGTTTTCACTTATTAAATACCATGTACATGTATAGAACAATGTTGACATAGAGTGAAAGATGCAGATACTCGATGTTGTCACTGTTTTTGGCACAAACCACCACTATCATCAACTCTCTTTTCTATATCCTTACACACACATCAAATGTGCTGGTATTCATTGTCTAATTTAACAAATTTGTCGGTTTTTTGGGAGGTCATATGAGTAGATAGCAACAAATGCTGATGTCCCACAATATTTCTGACCTGTTTTATGTTTTACAGTTTTAATTACTTGCTGAACACGGGCGTTAATTTCGGTGTAGATGAAATCGCAAGTAGAGATCCAGATACAAATTCATTACAATTGATGCACAGCGTCTGCTTGTTAGGTTCAACCGACAACCACACGCTGACTGACACAATATAACCGCATTGCAGTTGTCACAGTTACAATACAGATGATCTCAAGGCCAGCGAAATGAACAGTAGAATCACACACAATATTTTTTACGCTGGTATCTCAGTTCCATTCAACTTGATGACAACAATGATAATATCCTCTGTATAATATCAGGTTATATTCCACAGACTATTCCTTCATCATATGCGATACTTCCCATCCACAACACCATATGATCACTGCAGAGTTATGCTCCCTATTTCCCTCACTAACTGGTATAAAGATGAATTATAATTTATACAGAGTCATGTGACACCAACAATTTTAATAATTTGCCTATTACACAGCATGCATTTACTAAATATGCAAACTACTGGCCCTGTAACCTGAATAATGTAATCCAGCACTACAAAAGTCTGGGTGTGAAGGCCAGCATTTGTTTAAAGAGCATATTTTGCACGCGCTTGGCATACACATTGCACTCGGTGTGCGATAACAGTAGGTATACTTAATTTTTTTTTTATTTAAAACATTTTCAATGTTATAATTAATTAATATCATTTTACATATGATCTTACTGAACCATTAAATGATGAAATTTGTGACTACGGTGTGTTTGGTTTAAATTATATTGATAAATGTTGTTTGCCACGTCTGCAGTATATTCACAGCTGTTACCAGTGCAATTCAGGGCTACCATGAACACATCTACTGTTATGTAAATTGATGTAAATGTTATACAGTGTAATCAGTGCGCGATGTGCTTGTTTTATAACAAAACGCAGTTTACAACAAGAACAATGCATCGACCAATACTTATATGTATTGTATACCGAGCGTTTTTGAATTCTACCATATGGTTTGAGGTCAAAGGTCAAAATGTATATAAATGCCATGCAACTATATAGGATAACAATGTTTCTAAACCAAGATATTTTTGTTTTCCGATAAATAGCTCAATATTATGTTGACTACAGTACAAACCCTCTTCCTTCTCTACCCCACCATCAAATGCCCAGAAAGTTTGCCTTGCCACCAGTCAAAAATTACAGATATTCTTTAGACTATTCCTATAATCT